GAGTCAGACACACGAATGTGCATACTTCAGGGTGTGGCTGTTGTTGCCTGCCTTTATCTTTCAAGATACGACAACAGAATTGAAACTTTTTTTTACTTTCTCCTCAAACCGTGCGCCCTGAAGCGATGTGCCACCTTAATGAGTTAATGAGCGTGTTCCCATCGACGTGCCACCTTAATGGGTTAATGAACGTGTTTCTAACGACGTGCCACCTTAATGGGTTAATGAACGTGTTCCCATCGACGTTCACTGGCCACGAGAATGTAGGTCAGTAAATATCCTGGTACTAGCTGGGCCCCCTTCGATGAAAGGAATGATCGGTGCATTAACATCGACTGAAAGTCATTGGCCTACTATATTTACACTCTACTGGAATGGAGCAATAAATCTTGAGAGATACCAAAAATTAAAAGGTCTAGATCTATACTCTCAAAACAAAATGCCCCTCGCGAAATATCTCTTCTGCTGTGAAGGACAGCTGCACAGATTTGTTTCGTTTCTCAGTGGAATCATCACAAAGGCCAAAGAAGGACGGGAACATTTACAAATATATTTTGTCTAAATTCAGGAAATGAATAAATAAAACATGGGGCTCCGTCATGGGGACCTATCTATCTTTTTGCAGACACTTGCCGCCAACTTTCAACTCTGTAGCTGTCCTAGTTTTATGGGAAATGGAACAAATTATGTGTTTCCAAGTTGCCAAATCTATAATCGATTTCTGCCCGAGAGGAGAGAGAAGGAGGATTTATGATATAAGTGTGGAAATGTTTGTACATATTTGTAAAAGTTTTTCTTTTAGACTATGCTTCCCGCTTTTGTTTTGTTTTCTTATTTTTTCTTGTTTTTTGGTGTGTGTGTTTTTTTTTTTGGGGGGGGGGTTGGTTTAAAAAAAATTATTTTAGGGTTGTTCTTTTTTTTTTTACCATAAAATCCCTGTCCGACTCTGTTTTTGAATGGGCGTAAATTGAATTTAACCTTTAAAAAATTTCTTTTTAAACAAAATGAAAATTACAACAGACGATTTCTTCGATGTCATAATTTTGAGGAGCGTGTGACATGCCCACAAGGCCACACAAAAGGAATGTCAAACTCTGTGAAGTTTGCAAAACTCATTCCTTTCAGTTGATAGGATGGCAACAGTCGCTCTGCTGCACAGGGGTAGATTATTGTAATTTTATAT